CATAGCTAGGAGTTCCCTACCGAATGTGCTGTACCTCGATTCGGTGTCTAGCAACCTTCTAGAGAAAAATGCCAAGGGTTGCCAGGAGTTGTTAACCCATTGTTGTAAGACTCCTCCGATTGCTGAGTCGGATGCGTCTACTGCGATGCTAATGGGTGCTCGGGTGTCCTGATGTGCGAGCATTGTTGCTTTAGCGATCAGTTCCTTAACTGTGGAGAATGCTTTTCGTGCGGTGTCGTCCAAATTAATGGATTTCGCATTTCCACGAAGTTGGTCGGTCAGAGGTTTCATAAGTAATGCGCATTTCGGTATGAAACGTCTATAGAAACTTACCAGGCCGTTAAACGTGCGTAATTGCTTGACGGTGGTCGGTTCTGGGTAATCCAGAATGGCCGCCACTTTGGTTCTAAGGGGTCGGATACCTTGAGCATTTATAATGAGTCAACTCCGATTCGGCATTTCTGAACGTTTACAGTTATGCCATGTTTTTGTAATCGTTCGAAAACAAGATCCAGATGCTTGAGATGTGTTTCTCTGTCCGGACTTGCGATTAGACAGTCGTCAACATACGCGTGTACGAAGTTGAGACCTCGAAAAACGTCGTCTATGAATCTTTGGAATGTTTGAGCAGCATTCCTTAGACCGAAAGGCATTCGCAAAAATTCATAGAGTCCGAAGGGAGTTATGATAGCTGTTTTCGGTATGTCGTCAGTAGCCATAGGGATTTGGTTATACGCTTTAACCAAGTCGATTTTCGAAAAGACAGTTGTACCTTTCAAGGTAGCTGTCAAATCGTGAATGTGAGGCAACGGGTAACGATCGGGAATGGTTTTCGCGTTCAATCGCCGATAGTCACCAGTTGGACGCCAATCGTTGCTGTCCTTTTTAGGGACCATGTGCAACGGAGATGCATATGGGCTACTTGACGGTCGTATGATTCCTAAGTCCATCATGTGATCGAATTCGTTTTTCGCTAACCTTAGCTTTTCAGGAGCTAGTCGTCGTGCTTTAGAAATACAGGTGGTCCTGTAGTCGTGATGTGATGTGTAACATTGCTGGTTACACACGGTAGTTTCGTTGGGTTTGTTGTATCCCAGGGTACTTATCGAGTAGTGGTTGATAGAGTGGGTCTATCATATGTTTAACTGTGACTGGGGATACTCTACAACCAGAAAAAGCGGACAAATTAGTGTTTCCGTCTACTAGCCTCCGTTTGCGAGTGTCGATGATCAGATTGTGGTGTTGTAGAAGGTCCATACCAATGATTGGCATAGAAACATCTGCAACAACGAAAATCCAGTGGATGGGTTTGCGTAAACCCACGTTAAGGTAAACGTACCTTTTCCGTTTGCCGCCTGTAAGTTTAGAGTCGATTCGTGAAGTCGGTCGTTAGGATTTGCTGGGAGAACGCTAACTTCTGCGCCAGTGTCGACGAGGTAGCGAACTCTCGTTGTCACATCTGTGACGAATAACAGACGGCTTTGTTCGCCGGCTACGGTTGCCGTTAACGCGTGCCGGCTTGGAAGTTTCCCGAATTGTTTTTCGAGTCAGTCGGTTTCGTGTTGGGAAAATTGCAGGGTTTTCTGCAATTTCTGGAAAACTTTCCATACTGGTTATGATACCAGCACCAGTCGGGGTTATCTGTCTCTCGTGGTCTAGAGACAGATCGCTTACGAGAAATGCTTCTACGTGGTGTGCGCGATCTCTTACGGTCGGTACGAAGACTAAGATAACGCGTGAGTGTGTGACATAAGTCGGTTATGTCATTCTGAGTCGTGTGAGGCTTTTCTTTGACTGAAAATACCTCGGTAGTAGGTTTCGTAATTTCTAGAATGCGGTCGGCAGATGCAGCTAGTTCGTCTAAGGCGTTGTTCTGGAACGAGACCAGAACTGCTTGCACCTGTTGGGGAAGTTTTGACAAGAAGAGTTGTTTGAATAGACCTTCGTCGAAAGTTCTTGGGCCTATAACCTCTCTCATCCGTTGCAACATGTCCGTCGCAGAACCGTGTTGCAGGTCTATGTTATTTAGGAGTTGATCTAACCTTTGTCGATCGGTTAGGTCTCCTCGTTTAAGAATCGAGCGTTTTAAGATTTCGTAAGGATCGGAAACATCACTAGTAAACATACTAGGTGTTACGTACCTGTTGAATTCGCGCGGTAGTGCCTTGACTACTGCGAGGAATTGTGCACGTGTGTCGATCACGCCGTGCTCGGAGAAGTCGGCTTCTGCGTAGCAAAACCAGGCTTCGATGTTGTCGGGCCAGAAAGGCATCAGTTGAAACGAAGGTGGGGACAAGGTCTTAAGCTTGAGTACTTTAGGTGTCTGTTCAGTCATGATGAAATATGAAGTACGATAATGAACGAGGGGAAAAATATATATATCCAAGAAAAAACACGAAAAAAAATCACAATGTTTAAAAAAAATAAAAAATAAGGCAATGATATATAAAAATCCCAAAAAGGAACAGACTCACAGTTGCAATAAGGTGTACCAGATCACGACGGTCTCACCAATGATGATGTCACAGGTATTCAGTGTTTGACAACGCTTCTACCAGTAACACCTTCTAATGTATTTCGTTCCCACCAAGAGAAATCAAAAGACAGAGTCGAGGAGATCGGAAGAGTATATTTGGCGATGACCAATATATCGGAATTCTCTGATCTAATCTGGCTAGCGATTGCGGTTGATGTTGAGCACGGCGTTACCACACGTGATCTGGTGCGGATGCCTGACCGAGCGCCTTCAGCTAGATGAGTCCACTAAAACATATGGTCAGCGCCCAATGTCGAAAACTTAGAGCTATTTATTTGCCGCTACAATGTGCTAATGTTCTGTGTTATTCATTCATGAGTACCTTTAACAGATTGTTCTTAACCAATCTCATACCGAAAATGTGGAGAAAGGTAAAAATAATCCTTATACGTAAGAAGGTATCTGACAATAAAAATGTGAAATTTATACCCATAGCAGTAACACCTTTCCCCAAAACAATGGAAAAATTATTGATACTTACACTTCAACCTGCAATTAAAGAGCACATTGATCCGTATCAGTTTGCTTACAAATGCAAAAGAAGCACCTTAGATGCTGCTATCGCTCTGCATCATAATATAGTGTTCAGCTTGGAATAGGGTAAGAAGAATATTCGACGCGCTTTTCTGGACTATACTTTTGCTTTTGATTCTATACCAAGACAACTTTTAGGTAACAACGCTGACAGCTCGATAACCAACTGACTATTTTCCTACCTCTCTGGAAGAGAACAGCACACTGTTCGTCGGAAAGTGTTCAATGTCTTTACTGTCTCATGAAAGTGTCACAAGGAGCTGTTCCTTTGCCTATCGTTTTCTTTTTTTCTGAATGATCTTCCACAGGAAAAACATCTATTAAATGTGTGGACGATCTCATTGTATGTATGCCTGTTTCTACCTCTTCACATCTCCTTGAAATAGATGAGTTTTTGTTTCGTAACAAATAGTGGCCTGCTGTTAATGGTCCCATACTTAATTCGTCTAAATGTTAACTTTATCCCGAGACATGAACAGCACCTAAACACAATGATGGTGTCCCATAATCCTTGAACCATTGGAGATTCTTTGATAAACACAGTGTCGCGGGTTACTTATCTTGGTGTTACCTTTCCTCTGATTTCTTGGTCTTTTCATGTTTTACTGTTATCGAAGTACGTTTACCGCCTGACCGACTACATAAAGAGGCTGCATGATTTCAGGATTATTCAACATTTAATCTTGCAGTTTGTCAGTTCTTTTCTATATTTCTGAAACTGCTGAAGGCAGTTAGCAGGGTGTGTGGTGAATCTTTTGAGGTCATTATTAATATGGTTGCGGATAGACAACTTAAGTCTTACAAAGTCCTAATGGGTGTTACATTATCAGATAGTGACCGTCCTCTTCATCCATGACTTTCATCTTATATATCTTCTGGTAGAACGAGACGTCAGTTCATTAGAATCCATGCGCGCAAGCTGACGTAAAAGGTTCTATATTACCTTATCTAGCAAACGTACTATGTGATGAACAGGTTGTTTGAGTTAACCTAGTCAATGACCTGTATTCTTAAACATGTGTCTAATTTAAAACTTCTACAAATTCAAATGTTTTTCACCTTTTGCTCTTCTCTTTTCATTTTTGTAAAAGAAACTTTTTGAAATACCTCGTTCTGAGAATTCAATAATGTGTACCAAGATAAAATATTGAATAAAGTCATTATTAATAATAATATTAAATACAATCTATATACACAAAAAATATACTGGACGTTACTTAAATTGTCAGGAATTGGTGTGTTTCAGTTTCTTTTAGTCTACTAATCCACAATTATAAGTAGTTATTAATTCCTATCACAATTGTTATAATTCAAAATGTTTATCCACATGAAGGATAAAATGAGAACATCACTGTGGGCTGTAAACGAAGACAGTAAATACATTAGAGTTCTGTTATCATAACAACACGTAATGGAGAACAAGAGACATATACGTGCAACACTGTTTTTGTAAGATGTAATCAGTGTCATGATATTGGAGAATTCAAAACGAAAATGGAAATATAATGTCATGCATTTTTAGACAACTATTTTGCAGTCACTCATAGTAAACGAACAAATTATGAGAATTAGTGAAAAGAATGAAAATAGTAGCAAAAACTAGTTACAAAATAAGTCTGTCATAATTATGTACATAAAGGTCTGTGCGCGCTTCAGCAAAAAAAGCATCAAGACACATCATCAAATATCTTATTAACATACCAAAGTGAAAATAACTACCAACCAAGATTTACATCATTGTTAGACTTGAAAACACGAAAGCGTCATTAACAACAAATTCCAGTGAAGCAGTACAAAAAAGCGATTGATACTGAATTAAAGTTAAAAATCCACTAATAAACAATCATTTTATATTATGTGGACTTAGATAACTGGACAAAGAAAGACCGTAGTTCTTTGATGAGGAAGTTACATGTATCTTTCTCCGTCTTCAGGTGATACTGAAAGATAAATCAACAGATCCCTGTAACTAATGTATTACTTAAAATCAACTCACCTCTTTATTGTAATTAGCTTTATTCTCTATCTGATCCTCTAAATAAAGGCGTCGATAGATCAGTCTGGAAATGTTTGTGAAAATTATACTACTTACTTATATTTAGACTTCATCATTCTGTAGTAAGATACCCGCTCCGACAAAGAGTTTAGATATAAATTAATTTCATGAACATCTGGTGTGTTGAGAACTAAGATAAAAATGCAAAAGTTAGAAGCAACAAAGACAAATGTTCAAGTGAGCGATAATGGAATAAAGTTCTAAACAAACATTTGAACACATTTTGTAAGACTGTAAAGCAGAGTTGGTTGGAACTACTCTATGTTTACCAGGATAAGTTTTCGCTTCAGGTAAAAGTGTTCCGACTGATGTAGCCAAACATTGTCTAAAGAAGCACATGAACGATTCAAAAATAAAGCTTCTCAGACCACAGCAACGATGAGAATATACCAAAGCAACTAGATATTATCACTCATGTATCCATTAGAAGGGATGATATACAGCCTCCTTTGAGGCGAATTATGATGGTCCGTTTAAAGTGATTTCAAGGACTGACAAAACGGTTACTGTAGAAAAAAGCTCAGAAAACGGACATAATCAGCATCGACTGAGCTTAACCAGCATTCATGAAATTGACGACTAATCAACAAACACAGGTCCCGGGAAAACCGTCACATCACCAAAATATGTGTCTCAATCATTGACGACGAAAATAAAAAGAGAGAAGAGACCCCAATAATGACGAGATATAGTCGAAAAGTTAAGTGGCTACAACAGTATATAGCCACGATTATGAATTATTAATTTCTCTCACTGTTTTGAATATGAATTATCTTCTTCCTCTTCGTTTTGTACGCGCGTATCATCAAGTTTAAACCATGTATTATGAAATTCCACACGTTTTATATATCTTTGTGCTTATATATATAATCTTTTAAAAACACCACCAAATCCTTTTGATATTTGATCATTTTACTTGGACTCAGTGAACTACGGAAACTCAGATATACGTAACAAATACTAGCTTACAGAGTCGCTTTATCTTAATTTTAAGTAAATCATTATTTTCTGTGTATCCTAGTTATTCAATGCAGCTTAACATTTTTCTGCGACCACAGTCATCTATTTATATCACTGTTTGCAGGGGGAGCGAATATAGCTGCTCATCTACATATAAGGCTGTTTACGTTCAATTTTGCCAAACCCTTCAATTAACTTATTTAACGGTAAGTGTCATTAGAACAGTAACAATTTTTCTGTCTTGGTAATATTATCATTATCACGTCTGTATGAACATGTTTGCTTGATTACGATTGACATCCTACGCATAAATCCCTTTCTCTAGCTTGAATGTTAGTTGCTTATATATATATATATATATATATATATATATATATATATATTGGGGAAGCCGCTACAGTAAAATTTGGGGTTTTGGTGCCATTTCCTCAGACCTGGGGAAATTCCGCAATATTTTCCTTTAACCTTGGTGAAGGTCATTTGACTTTGTGGGTTTCCCCGAAATTCCATAAAATTTCCCCAAACTTGGGAGATTGGGTATATATATATGCTTGAATCTTACTACTGGACTCGACTCTTAACTCGCCTGTGTGTTCACTTGCTTGCTTGGTCTCTCGCACTGACGTTTCTGCTCGAATTCGCTTTTTGCGCTTGCGGCTTGTTAATCTGCATTGTACAGTAAAAAACTGTAGTTGAAGCTTTGTATTTTCCTCTTAAATTTATACGCCGTTGGGAGATATCTAGTAACGGTTATCAAGACGAGTGATATACAAAGCCTTAGGAATTATCTCAAAAATAATCCACTACAAAATACTCGAAGCCTTATGCCATCAAATTATAGTTTCAATTGTCCAATAGCCTTGTGTTATTTCTAATTGTTATTGACTACTTTTATTACCATTTGAACCTTAAGATGTAAGTGCACTCTATATGCTTACTGAGTTAACTGTCCACATTTTCTCTTGTTCCTTTCTCTTCAATTACTGCTCCTTACACTCCCTCAACAAAGTACCTTCAGGCTAGACCAAAACCTGGTAAAGATTGAGCATTACAATTTATGCCATTTAACTTTAGATGTATCATCTGATTAACTTGACAAGAATTAGATATTAGAGCTTAAATTAAAGCCGGTTACCATAAATAACAGATCTACTAGCACTTCCAGTCAGTAATACTAATAACTTATAGCATACAATAAGTTACGTCAAATCTATATACCTGTCTACCCAAACTTAGACAATGAGAGTAAAGGAAGGTGAATTTGAAATAAATCAGTGTTTTTCTTTATAAAAAAGAAAACAGTTCAATACATAACCATTAGAATATAAGAATGCACCACAGTAGCATAATAATACTATATATCTGTTAACAATTTATTTTGATTATATCAGAAACTGGAACAATAAATGCTAAACATCAGGAGAATTGAATTCAATTGATGAATTTGGTGAGATTATTGTTTAGTTTATCAATTACTATCAATAAGAAGAGAATATCTTAAGGAAATCTCTAAACTTTCATTCAAACCAATTTATTTGCATGATAAAACTAAACGTTACTAAAAACTAACTCTGTTAAATAAACATAATCTAAGTAAAGTTATGTAAAAGTAACAATTCGAGAGTTAGCTAAATTGTTAGATTTATGTTTTTCTACAAATATTTTTGATATAATAGTTGAATTAATGAATAAATATAAATAAACAATATATTTGCAATATCCCAATCAGTAGAAAATTAGATTTTCTGATGTTTTGTAGCTTAGTGTAAGTCACTTCTTCAGAGAATAAATAACCAAATTACAATTACTCCAAGTTTAATTTGATTATTTATTCTCTGAAGAAGTGACTTACACTAAGCCACGAAACGTCAGAAAATTACAAATATATTATTTATTTATGCCAATCTACCCAATGCTCAATTTATTCGAAATTATCAAATCATACATAATGAATAAATAGAAAAGATATATACATATAAATTTTTGATTGATGATTTAATAGCTGAAATCCTAATATTGTGACTACAATTAATGGTGTAACTTAAGATCAAACATAATCTATGAATTTGTTACATGAATATCATTTATAAAAATATTATGGTAAGTGAATAAAATAATTGTGATTTCATAGATTAAAATATCTTATAATTAACTAAAAGATTGAGTAAAAGATTAGAAATAAATATAGAGTATGATCTAGAATAATCACTATACAATACTTTGTATAAATGAAAATAGAACTCCCATTTGAGAAGTTACATGACTTAACGAATGACTTAAGATTATTACATTAAAAACTAAAATATTTAACTTGTAAATGTTAAATATCAGTGGTTCCCTTTAATCAAATGATTATTTTTGCTACATTTAAACCACTAAAATTATTTGTTTAGCGAAATACATGATAATTATTTCCATTTTATCCATAAACTAGTGTACTAGATAAGTCACATAAGTCGGTAATTGTTAGCAGATGAATATGTTGTAGAATTAAAATAAATAGACATATGAGAGCGTTATCACTTTTACTATTATTGATATGCAATCAAAGAGTAACGGGGAATAAACTTTTCCCAATAAATATTTACAGTTCGTAATAGTATACTATATGTAAATTAGGTACACTAAAAATACTCAACAAAAATAACTTAGAAAATTGAGGACGCTGAAAAACCTTAGATATAAACATTAGAAAATGCAAAAAACTGGAACTACTTTCCTTTTACAGAGTACTTGATGGCACTACTGCACAGTAAGATCATTCGTAAAAAACGGTGAACAATTTTAGCCAACTTGAAAAAAAGTCAGGGTGATGAAAATACTTTACAAATGAAGGTATGATAAAAAATAGATCTGTACATCAAGTCATTCTTTTAAGTTCTAAAATTTGTTTTCCAATTTATTTTATTATTTTGACGAGATTTCAGTCACGCATTTAAGAAACCGTATATGATTAGTTGAGGGACACTTCATTTGACTTGGAATGGAGCAAATTTTCTGGGGGTAAACTTTGCTGCAATAAATTATCGAGGAAACATGTTTAGTAATGACAAGAGAACCGTTCAGTGCTGTTGTTGATTCCTTTTAAGCTTAACGTCGTAAGTTAGTAATCAACAAAGAGAAATATCAAACGGATACTTTTAATTACTGTTTGAGGAAGTCTCAAAAGATCAATTCGCCAAAGCGATTATTTACATTCAACAAACCTTCGTGTATACACAGTGACTGTTAAACGATAAAATACGGAAAAAGTAAACTGACGTGTATTCTATTACTTACATGAATAACCACAGGAATGAATATCTGGACGATTGGACGTCTCATGATGAAAAGTTTCATTTAATGGAGGTACATGAGCTGATGTTTGTTCGAATTCTACCTAAAACATCATAATAGTTAACATTTAGAAGATGCATTAAACTGGTGGTGTACAGAACGTTTCAACTTACAGTATTGGTAAGCCCAAGTGAATGTAGTTCAGGGAGAATGAAGTCGGGATAACGTGCAGGTGTTAGTTCTTGATTTCGTATTGTTCTGAAATTATTGCCACATTCTGAAAGTCTGGATATGCGATTTTCATTAGTCAATTCAGAAATATCAGCCCAAATACTATTCATATTAAGTTCACTTAAATTTTGACTAATTCCTCTAGAAAACGTCCACCAGTACCAACGTGTTGCTGTATTAAGTACTAATTTAAAAACACGAATGTCATTGTTCTGAAATAAAAAAATTACAAATGATATGTAAAAGCAGTCAGATAAAATATTCTAATAATCAAATAATATTTTTTGATCTAACCGTATCTGGTTTTTTGAGTGAACTTTTAATATGGTACGGAGGAGTTCAACACCGGCTGTAGCCCTACTAGGGTTACTCCAAACATAAAGGAGGGTTGGGCATAGGGTTGGCAACCTCATGCTGTAGAACACAACATAGCTAAATAAGCGCTAACCAGAATAAAATAAATAAAACCATCTCAACTCCACCCTACAATTTGAAGGATCTTCTTTCGGAAGAATAATGACGATTTATGGTGAAAGCCAATATTCTCCGAAAGTTACGAGGTCGATGCCACTTCTAACAATCACAGTAATAATTGACATAGGTACATGGAATGTTGGGACGATTTGGGAGACCGGGAACACCAACCAAACAGATACGAAAATGAGGAGGTACAATTCGGCAGTACTCAGAAGAAGCGAAACCCATTGGAACGATGTTGGACAAAAAGGATAGATACAAGACAAATGCTGCTGTACTCCGGTCACGAAAAAGAAAATTCTCCACACACTGAGAGAGTTGCTCTGATACTGTTCAAAGAAGCATGAAAAAGCACTTATAGGATGGGAAACTAATGGATCCAGCATCATCAAGGCATCATTCAAAACAAAGGAGGAAATCACAATGGATGTTATCTAATGTTATGCACCCACCAATGATAGCAACGACAACAATAAAGATCAGTTATATGAGAGGCTGCAGCGATCATAGCGAAGTGCCTAAGAAAGGATCTCACCATCCTGATGGGAGATCTAAATACCAAAGTCGGAATGAACAACACCGGATATGAAGATATCATGGGACGACAGCGACTGACTGGGAGAAGAAAACGAGAACGGTGACAGATTTGCAAATCTATGTACATTCACCAATTTGTCTATGGAGAGCATGATATCCCCATATAAAGCTACATGGATCTCATCGAATCACAGCAAAGAGAACCAAATCGATCATATTCGCATCAGTAAAAAATTGACAAGATCAATGGCAGACGCGAGAATCAGGAGAGCAACCAACATAGCTTCAGATTACCATCTACCTGGTGGTTGTCAAGATGAAACTGGAGATAAAGAAGCATTGGATGACTGAACAAACAGCCTTACAAAGGTTCACTACAGTCTTCCTTTGACGCACTGACAAACTCAACCAATTCAAGATAACTCTCAACAACAGGTTCCAAGCTTTACAAGTTCTACTCAAAGAAGAAGAAATTACGATAGAGGACAACTGAAAAGGGATCAAAGAAGCAAGTGGAGAGGAACATTAAAGTCGACAAGCAGAAATACGTGGAAGAACTAGCAACAACGTCGGAAAAAATGCAAAAGAAGGAAATATGAAACAACTATGATACAACGAAGAAACTAGCAGAGAAATATAGTAAAGCAGAGACCAGTCAAGGACAAAGAAGGCGAACCAATCAATGAGATTTAAGAACAGAATAACAGGTGGGTAAAAAACTTTGAAGAACTGTTGAATAGACCAGACTCACTGAACCCATCGGACATCGAAGCAGCATATACAGATCTCCAGATAAAATACCTCGGACAGATACCAAAGAAAGATGTCAGCACGTGTGAGAACTACAGGTGCATCACACAATCGTTAGTACTACGTAAAGTTCTCAACAAAGTGTTGCTGAACCGGATAAATGTTTCAACAAAATCCCAGCTTCGAGATCAACAGACCAGGTTCTGTACAGACCAAATCACGACACTACAGATCATCGTTGAACAATCAATTGAATGGAAATCGTCACTATGTATCAACTTCCTTGATTATGAGAAAGCATTTGACAGTGTGGAGAAGAGAACATTATGGAAACTTCTTCGACACTATGGAGTAGCTCAGAAATTCGTCAACATCATACGGAATTCATACGACTGACTATACTGCAAAGTGGTGCATAGAAGGCAGCTGATAGGCGCATTCCAAGTGAGGACCAGAGAAAGACAAGGCTGCCTACTCTCTTCTTTGCTCTTTCTTCTGGTGGTTGACTGGATTATGAAGGCCTCTACATCTGACGGGAATCACGGAAAATATAATGGACAAGTTGGATGCAGCTAGACGATTTGGACTTCACAGGTGACCTAGCTCTTCTATCCCATATACAACAACAAATACAGGTCAAGATAACCAGTGTAGAAGAAGTCTCTGAAGCAGGAGGCCTCAACATACACAAGGGCTAAAGCAACATCCTCAAATACAACACGAAGAACACCAACCCAGTCATGCTTGATGGAGAAACTCTGAAAGAGGTGGAACGTTACACGTACCTGGACAGCACCACCAATGAACAAGGAGGATCTGATGCAAATGTAAAGCGGGGATCGGAAAAGCAAGGATCTAATTCATACAGTTGAAGAACATATGGAACTCAGAACAACTACCTGCAAGCAAATATCAAATTCAGAATCGTCAATGCGAACGTCCAGACAGTTCTAATGTATCGAGGTGAAACTTGGAGAACCACCACAACCATCATCAAAAAGGTACAAGTATTTATCAACAGTTGTTTAAGCAAGATACTCAATGTCCCTTGACAGGATACTATCAGCAACATCCTACTGTGAGAGAACAAACCAGTTTTTAGCTGAAGAGGAAATTCGGAGAAGACGCTGGAAGTAGATAGGAAATTCATTGCAGAAATCATCAAACTGCATCACGAGATAAGCGTTAAATTGAAATGCTGAAGGGAAACGAAAAAGAGGAAGACCAAGGACACACTGAGTCAGGATTCGAAAGCAGACAGTTAAAGTATGAGTAGCAACTGAAAAAGATTGTTCAGGACAGAGTTCGGTGAAGAATGCTGGTAAGCGGCCAATGCTTCTGCACGAGGAGTAACAGGCGTAAGTAAGGAGTTCAGAAAGATGGATAAATGCAAATAATTGACAATACATGTAAATTTACACGATCTATTTATGAAAGACCACAAGAAGAAATAATCACAATATCAAAGACATAAATTAAGAGTGTTGATTGTTGGTTTAAACGGCTAGAGAGAACAAAGAGATGAAAGAAAAAAGGTAAATTGAAGCGTATTTATCCATACAACTGTGTAAACAACAATAAAATGAGGTTAGAATGAGATGAAATAATGCGGTATCTAACCATTAGGCTAATACGGAATAAACACGCCACGTTTCACGCAGATCTTAAACTTCTCTTTCTGTTATCCAAAAGATCTTGATTTTTCATTCGGAAATAAGTAACTAACTACTCACTACACTAACCATATCTATATTTTCGAAAATTTCGAAGCGTCTAGTTTGGGACCGAGTGCTTATATGAAGGGGAAGCACCCAGGAAAAACCAAGTTAGGAAGTATTATACCATTGAGAATTATTTAGTAATCGTAGTATTTACAATTCCATTGAAAAGATTGAGCGCAGTCTAACGTGAATACATTCCAATGATGTAAATTAGAATAAAAATTAAATAAGTGAAACTTTTAAAAACATACCCAAAATTTTGAACAGTACTTCATATGCCTTTCATGACGTTTATTCAAAGCCACAGTAATCCATAGTCTTAGAGCGTCGACAGTTTTGTGCTCATAAAACCGTTGGGTAGCGGTTTTTCGTCTATTTCTTTTATACTTTTGTTTTCCAATCCATAAATGCCAAGCCTTCCACACTTTTGCTTGTAAGCATAAAGACCATCGCACAAGAGCTATGGATTTCAAAGCTTGAAATTTACTATTTTCAATTAGTTTTAAATGCCATTGGCTTAAGAAGTGCTTCTGAAAATAACAAAGATGGTTTTGATGCATCAAACAATGATAATAAGAGATGAAAAGTTAGAAATAATTCAAAGTTATTAGCTTTTAGTAGTATACTTACTTGCTTACGCCTGTTACTTCCAATGCAACACAGGCCGCTGACCAGCATTCTCCAACCTACTTAGTCCTTCCTTTCTAGTAGTAGTAATAGTATACCATTACAAATATTTAAACTTCTGAAGGGGTTCCCGAGTTTATACTAGGGAACATGAACAACTGTTTCGTCTTAAAGTGTGGTTATCCATTTTATTTAAACGTTTCTCCAAATGATGTCAGTTTGTAAAGCAAATGACATTTGAGCTACCAAACCTTCATATATAATAGAGACCAAGTACCTAAGCAACCTTTATCCTGCTAACTAATTGTTCTTATAACAGGTTATTGATCAGGTCAAAGAATATACAAAAATAAGAAATCAACAAAAAGATAAAGCAATCAATCTTTTTGAGTAGTATTTCACAAACCCATATTTTCTCCTTGAATCATAACTTTCCACGCCCAGTCTATCCTACTACTACTCATACTGTTACTAATTTACTACTCTTGAGTCTCGTTAAGCTGATATGATGTGGCAACTTCAATAGATGGACATGCATATCAAGTTCTATGTCGCTTATGGCTGACTGAATCAATTACACTGACGTATTATAATTATCTTCCATGATAAATTTAGGAAATAGATAGCTCAAATATTTATTTGTTTAATGATACCTCGATTCGTTAAAAGTGATTTAACTTACCTGAATTGTTCGAATTCGAAAGTCATTAGCCGTTTTAAATAATTTGATTTTATGTTCTTGATAGTAATAAAAGCAGACCAGCAATTGAGACACTGAACAAGTATATGTTTATCATAAAGTCTGCATGCAAGTTAGCGTTTGAACAATAGTTATACACAGATCTCCAGTGTCTCCACCAAATTCGTATAGTAACAATTCGCATATTCTCTAAACTTATTTTAAAAGTAAGCTGCATTTTCAAAAGATATTCTCGACGACTAGACGTCCACTGTAACCATGCAAGAAACAACTGTGGAAAAAGTGAGGTTATTCAACATACGGTAAATGTATCTTTGCATATGATCGAACACAAACATCAATCAATGAAACAGTGTTAGAACGTTTAGATTCATCTAACATCTAGAAAAATCATTCTCCTGAGCTGGTATTTTGGCAGCTAAGTCTAATCACTTATA